CCTTGTGGTACGTTTGGTAGAGAGTTGTTAGCCATTGACCTAGCAATTAGGCATTTCAGTTATTTGCTACAAGGTCGTCATTTCACAATATCTACCGATCACAAACCCCTGTGATACGCTTTCACTACGTCAATGGATAGACACTCACTCACCCAGAGAAGCTAAGCAGTTAGATTATATCTCTCAGTTCTCGACCGACATACAGTAAATTAACGGTGACGCCAATGTGGTAGCCGACTCTCTTTCTCGACGTGACTTAAATCATCTGCTCAATCCAATAGACATCAGTCTTGAGACCATCGCAAAATCACACCGCGATGACACTGAACTTTTAGCTTGCCGTGAGAGATCCTCCTTGCAACTCCAGGATATACCTATTCCCTTATCCGTCTACGACATATCTATAGGTGTCCATCGACCGTTTGTTCCCAAACATTGTCGAAAAGCGTTGTTCAATCACATACATGCATTATTCCATCCGGGTGTGCGAGCTACAGTCAAGCTAATAAGTGAGTGTTTCGTATGGTCAAAGATGAATTCGGACATTCGACAATAGACATGCGAATGTCTACAATGCCAACTCTCGAAAGTTAATAGACATACGGTCACCATACCTCAGCAGTTCGACCTTCCGGAGAGACGACTCCAACATGTATACATGGACATAGTCGGCCCGTTGCCACCATCAAAAGGGTACACACACATTCTCATGGCGATAGACACATTTACTCGGTGGGCTATCGCTTTCCCACTCAGTGATGTGTCAGCTGAAAATGTTGCCTCAGTATTTCTGGATCGCTGGGCCCCAAATTATGGTGTCCCATCTACAGTGACATCGGATAGAGGAACTTAGATCCAGTCGACATTATTTCGCGAGTTCACCCGACTTCTGGGAGTGCAGCATATCTCCACCACTGCATACCATCCAGCAGCGAATGGCCTAGTAGAAAGATTTCACAGACAGTTAAAAACCTCCTTGATGGTACAATCTGATTCATCCAACTGGAGTGATCATTTACCTTTGATTTTGCTCAACATCCGGTCAACTATTAAAGAGGATCTCGGTTGTACACTGGCACAACTTCAACACTACCAGGACAGTTAGTAGCCTCCCACGACTCTCAAAAGTTTTCTTATCAACTGACCCGACGAATGCTACAACTTCAACCAATGGCTCCGAGACAATCTCCTCACAGAGAAAACGTAAGTAGATATCTACAAACCTGCAAATTCGTCTTAATACACATCGATAACATCAGGAAAGGGCTACAACCTCCATACGAAGGCCCGTTATCAGTACTGCATCGCGTGGTAAAATATTTCACAGTGAACAAAGGAGGTAAAAGGCTGACTATCTCCGTGGACAGACTCAAACCTGTTTACACAGATTGCGATGATATCCCAACATCGACTCCAGCAGACAAACAAGGGTCCGACAAAGCTCCAGAGATACCAACAATACTACCTCCCCCTTGCATTATCCGTAGTGTCAGGCAGGTCAATAAACCTGCGCGCTTTGTTCACCTTACCGTTTATTAATACCCTCAAGGTTGCAACAATTTTTTTTACATATACATTGTTACCATTCATATCGATTATTTTTGTTAATTATTGATTTACTTGATTTATTTGTGTCAGGTACGATATCATCCTTTCCCAAGTATTGTTATTTTTACTAGCTAATCACTGTATATGTGTATATATGCATTCACAACTATTCTCCCGTAATTACTACTACATTGATCAGCATTTTAACGGACGTAATCTTTATTGTTATTGATGCCATTATTAGTGTCATTAACTTTGACGCCATCGTCCCCATTAACACTGATCTCTATCGCAATTTTGTTCATTCATTTGTATTGTATTATCTACAGAGCCGACGTATACGTGTCTGTGTTTATTTATACAGATACTTTTTTGTTTGGGTGTATGTGTTCACTCTCCGTAATATATATATTCATTGAACTACCGTCCATTTCCAGTTCAGAAGTTTGTGTTGAACTAATCACAAAAGCGTTAAAAGCCTTTTTACTTTCTGTATTCCCGTTGTGCTATGTATCATTAAAATTGTTTCTTCTTATCACAATTGCACTGCATATCGTCAGTAGCAGTAAAAGCAAAAGTGCTGGTAGTCCTTCCGGACTTCTAAGATGGGAAGTAGTGTGGTGGCCGAAAAACATATCAAATTATACGTTCACCGAAAAAAAGTAAAAATAAGGAAATCAAAGAAAATCGTGGTTGTTGGTAACCTGAGACTGAACAAGGACACAACGTTGTTCGACACGAAACACGGACAACGCTTCTTCCATCTCTCCTGCAACAGGCAAACCAACAGGCACACAAACACAGGTAATGAAAGCAGAACACGAGTTGTGCAGGAGAGCGTTTATTACACGAATTTCAATTTTATTAAGTGCACGAGTACAGTTTTAGAGTATAACAGTTTTACTGGTTGGTCTTCCTTAATGTTTAGGTTCTGTAATTCTTGTATCTCTTGGTCCAGACAGTTGACTCCCGGGTATCTTCCTGCAAGTAGAGAAAATGAAACATTGATTAGCATTATAATATAGGTTTTGTTTTCATTACACTCCAGCTTGTTTTTCGCTTATCACATCTGCCAACCAACTCGGCCTCGTACCGATCGACACATCCACATTAGGATACTTCGCTCTAATCTACTTTTTCTCTACGCAAGTACTCTCCGGCAGTTGGCATCTCTAATGTGTACTTGCAGATCCTCAAGTACACATTAGAGATGCCAACTGCCGGAGAGTACTTGCGTAGAGAAAAAGTAGATTAGAGCGAAGTATCCTAATGTGGATGTGTCGATCGGTACGAGGCCGAGTTGGTTGGCAGATGTGATAAGCGAAAAAGAAGCTGGAGTGTAATGAAAACAAAACCTATATTATAATGCTAATCAATGTTTCATTTTCTCTACTTGCAGGAAGATACCCGGGAGTCAACTGTCTGGACCAAGAGATACAAGAATTACAGAACCTAAACATTAAGGAAGACCAACCAGTAAAACTGTTATACTCTAAAACTGTACTCGTGCACTTAATAAAATTGAAATTCGTGTAATAAACGCTCTCCTGCACAACTCGTGTTCTGCTTTCATTACCTGTGTTTGTGTGCCTGTTGGTTTGCCTGTTGCAGGAGAGATGGAAGAAGCGTTGTCCGTGTTTCGTGTCGAACAACGTTGTGTCCTTGTTCAGTCTCAGGTTACCAACAACCACGATTTTCTTTGAATTCCTTATTTTTACTATTTTTCGGTGAACGTATAATTTGATATGTTTTTCGGCCACCACACTACTTCCCATCTTAGAAGTCCGGAAGGACTACCGGCACTTTTGCTTTTACTGCTACTGACGATATGCAGTGCAATTGTGATAAGAAGAAACAATTTTAATGATACATAGCACAACGGGAATACAGAAAGTAAAAAGGCTTTTAACGCTTTTGTGATTAGTTCAACACAAACTTCTGAACTGGAAATGGACGGTAGTTCAATGAATATATATATTACGGAGAGTGAACACATACACCCAAACAAAAAAGTATCTGTATAAATAAACACAGACACGTATACGTCGGCTCTGTAGATAATACAATACAAATGAATGAACAAAATTGCGATAGAGATCAGTGTTAATGGGGACGATGGCGTCAAAGTTAATGACACTAATAATGGCATCAATAACAATAAAGATTACGTCCGTTAAAATGCTGATCAATGTAGTAGTAATTACGGGAGAATAGTTGTGAATGCATATATACACATATACAGTGATTAGCTAGTAAAAATAACAATACTTGGGAAAGGATGATATCGTACCTGACACAAATAAATCAAGTAAATCAATAATTAACAAAAATAATCGATATGAATGGTAACAATGTATATGTAAAAAAAATTGTTGCAAGCTTGAGGGTATTAATAAACGGTAAGGTGAACAAAGCGCGCAGGTTTATTGACCTGCCTGACACTACGGATAATGCAAGGGGGAGGTAGTATTGTTGGTATCTCTGGAGCTTTGTCGGACCCTTGTTTGTCTGCTGGAGTCGATGTTGGGATATCATCGCAATCTGTGTAAACAGGTTTGAGTCTGTCCACGGAGATAGTCAGCCTTTTACCTCCTTTGTTCACTGTGAAATATTTTACCACGCGATGCAGTACTGATAACGGGCCTTCGTATGGAGGTTGTAGCCCTTTCCTGATGTTATCGATGTGTATTAAGACGAATTTGCAGGTTTGTAGATATCTACTTACGTTTTCTCTGTGAGGAGATTGTCTCGGAGCCATTGGTTGAAGTTGTAGCATTCGTCGGGTCAGTTGATAAGAAAACTTTTGAGAGTCGTGGGAGGCTACTAACTGTCCTGGTAGTGTTGAAGTTGTGCCAGTGTACAACCGAGATCCTCTTTAATAGTTGACCGGATGTTGAGCAAAATCAAAGGTAAATGATCACTCCAGTTGGATGAATCAGATTGTACCATCAAGGAGGTTTTTAACTGTCTGTGAAATCTTTCTACTAGGCCATTCGCTGCTGGATGGTATGCAGTGGTGGAGATATGCTGCACTCCCAGAAGTCGGGTGAACTCGCGAAATAATGTCGACTGGATCTAAGTTCCTCTATCCGATGTCACTGTAGATGGGACACCATAATTTGGGGCCCAGCGATCCAGAAATACTGAGGCAACATTTTCAGCTGACACATCACTGAGTGGGAAAGCGATAGCCCACCGAGTAAATGTGTCTATCGCCATGAGAATGTGTGTGTACCCTTTTGATGGTGGCAACGGGCCGACTATGTCCATGTATACATGTTGGAGTCGTCTCTCCGGAAGGTCGAACTGCTGAGGTATGGTGACCGTATGTCTATTAACTTTCGAGAGTTGGCATTGTAGACATTCGCATGTCTATTGTCGAATGTCCGAATTCATCTTTGACCATACGAAACACTCACTTATTAGCTTGACTGTAGCTCGCACACCTGGATGGAATAATGCATGTATGTGATTGAACAACGCTTTTCGACAATGTTTGGGAACAAACGGTCGATGGACACCTATAGATATGTCGTAGACGGATAAGGGAATAGGTATATCCTGGAGTTGCAAGGAGGATCTCTCACGGCAAGCTAAAAGTTCAGTGTCATCGCGGTGTGATTTTGCGATGTTCTCAAGACTGATGTCTATTGGATTGAGCAGATGATTTAAATCACGTCGAGAAAGAGAGTCGGCTACCACATTGGCGTCACCGTTAATTTACTGTATGTCGGTCGAGAACTGAGAGATATAATCTAACTGCTTAGCTTCTCTGGGTGAGTGAGTGTCTATCCATTGACGTAGTGAAAGCGTATCACAGGGGTTTGTGATCGGTAGATATTGTGAAATGACGACCTTGTAGCAAATAACTGAAATGCCTAATTGCTAGGTAAATGGCTAACAACTCTCTACCAAACGTACCACAAGGCGTCTGAGCTGGCTCCAACTTCTTTGAAAAGAAAGCGAGAGGGGTTAGTGTATCATTTATTTTCTGTTGGAGTACAGCTCCTACTGCAATTTGCGAGGTGTCAGTGCACAAAATCAGAAATGCCTTAGGGTTGATGTGGGAAAGCATAACAACTTTTGATAGCGCTTCTTTAGCGTTAATGAATGCTACTTCCGCTTGATTCGACAGTTGACACTGTTTTGGATCACATTTGAGAAGATCGGTTAGGGGTTGTACAATGGAGGCATATGAAGGGATAAAACATCGATAGAGGTTAAACATCCCCAAGAAACGTTTGACCCTCTTGAGTGAATCCGATTCCAGCAAATTTCAATGGTTTCTATTGGATTTCCGTCGGGGGTTTCCGATGAAATCGCTGATTTCTGTTAACATTGACGGAGTCAGTTGTGCCAGCACGATGCCGTATTTAGCTACCTGAGACTTGATGCCTCGTGCCTCCAATGAAGGCTCAATAACTCCGAACCAAATCTCTGATCCTGCAAAACCCTATTGTGGTAAACGAAAATCAGCGAAGCCACAATAGATTTTGGCCTGTGCCTCGCTGCCAGTTCTCTGTTCAGGTGGTGTACCGGGCTGAGTAGGTGACGACATTATATATATATACATGACAATATTGGTGCAAAGGGACGAACAAATATGAGACCACAAACAAAATATTACAATAAAAATACACAACCGACGAAAATATGTATATAGATATGTGAAAATAATCCGTGTTCAAAAACGGGCTCACCAAATAAGTGTAGTGGACTGAACGACTAAGTTTGTCCATATGTGCAATTAAACAGGACAGAAAAAATACTAACAGGTATGTATATGTAAGCTATTCAGTCAACTCAAGCTAATATACACAAAAATGGAGTTATTTGAAAAACTACAATATTCCCAAAATACTCAAAATATAGACGTACAAAATGATAGGGATGATGAAATTGTCCGTTTCTTGAGTATGCAGATCCTCAAGTACACATTAGAGATGCCAACTGCCGGAGAGTACTTGCGTAGAGAAAAAGTAGATTAGAGCGAAGTATCCTAATGTGGATGTGTCGATCGGTACGAGGCGGAGTTGGTTGGCAGATGTGATAAGCGAAAAAGAAGCTGGAGTGTAATGAAAACAAAACCTATATTATAATGCTAATCAATGTTTCATTTTCTCTACTTGCAGGAAGATACCCGGGAATCAACTGTCTGGACCAAGAGATACAAGAATTACAGAACCTAAACATTAAGGAAGACCAACCAGTAAAACTGTTATACTCTAAAACTGTACTCGTGCACTTAATAAAATTGAAATTCGTGTAATAAACGCTCTCCTGCACAACTCGTGTTCTGCTTTCATTACCTGTGTTTGTGTGCCTGTTGGTTTGCCTGTTGCAGAAGAGATGGAAGAAGCGTTGTCCGTGTTTCGTGTCGAACAACGTTGTGTCCTTGTTCAGTCTCAGGTTACCAACAACCACGATTTTCTTTGAATTCCTTATTTTTACTATTTTTCGGTGAACGTATAATTTGATATGTTTCTCGGCCGCGGGGAATTTGAACTCTTGTTTTACCATCTGTCTGACGTGAAACTGATAGACCAAAACAAGAAAGGATGGTTTAGTTTTAAATCGGTTGATTCAACCAACGAATGCCACATGTCAACATCTGAAAGTCACAGTATGCTAGTAGGGGAACATAGGGTAGCAGTGAGGAGACTATATGAAATTAATGACATTCTCATCGTGAGACGGTATAAGGTCTCTGGATTTCCTATAATGAACGATAACCACCCGGAAAATTTCCAGATGTACATAACTCAAAAGGAAGGAACAACGTCATTTGTAAATAAAGTAAATAAGTGCCTCAATGAACTTTTCATCAAGAAATGGACCGACTACAAATGCAGAATGAACTCATGTAAAAAGTGGACGCCTCGTTTTATGTACAGTGTACTGAAAATCGATTAAGCCAGTGTTCCCTTAAGACCCTTATTGTCAATGGTCAACTCAACATGGCACAATCTAGGTTATTGGTTGACTGGTTGATTGTAGCAAATACGAAATTAATTTGCGATTTATAGCTTTTAAGATACCTTCTAATTTTCTAAGGATGTCGATCATGTCGATATATCTGATAAACTGAGTGTCGTATGCGGTGAACGTCCTTTTCATAAATGTACCAGTGATTCATACAATAGACATCGTTTGCAAATAAAGAGACCTATTACCACTACCGGAAACAGAGATGAAGCGTCTACTACTTCTCTGCATAAAAGATATAAAATTCACATTTAAAAACCAATTTTACCTACGAATTGATAGGGTGGCTATGAGTTCAACTCTAGGACCTATTTTGGCCTATATCTTCATGTGTTATACTCAAAAGACGCGATTGAGTTCAAAAATCAATGAAATAACCTACTATCACCTATGTGTCAATGATACGTTTCTTGTTTGCAACAACATGAGTCAGGCATCTTTATTATTTGACCTTATTTTTGCAGCTGATGGGAACCCACGAGATAGAATGACATCATTTTATACTGCAAATCTGGTCTTTCTTTCTTTATTGAAACCTCTTTTTAGATTTTAGTAGGCCTTCACACCTTAAATTTCTGTTAAAATTATCATTAGTGTTACTTTGACTGGACACTAGTAACTAGTGTGATGTGTCTGGTCCTTTCTTTGGTGTTCAGACTGAATTCTACCAGTCAGGTTTGCAATGTGACCCCCATTCTAGGTAGCTGACCCATGATGGTGCCCGTTTATTTGGTGATATTAGATGGATGGAGGCAATCGGCCACAGGAAGCCTTGACTAGACCTAGGTTTCGTGCTAGTTGGCACTCACCCAGTAGCAAGGCGTATCCGCAAACTTGAAGGAATTCATCTCGCTCCTGACTGATAGAATTCAGTCTGCACCAAAGAAAGGACTAGACAAATCACACTAGTTACTGACTAGTGTCCAATCGAATTATCCAATGACGTCCTACAGGAGGTCAGTCGCGAGGCCGAACAGCTAGCTCAGTGGTAACGTCTCTGGTTGCAGGCGGCACTTGGTGACGCGGGTTCGAATCTCAGAGGGGACATGAGTTCCTTCAAGGTTGCAGGTACACCTTGCTGACTGATGAGTGCCAACTGACACGAAACCTAGGTCGGAGGCTTTCTGTGGCCGATTGTCTCCATCCATCTAATATTATCAGTGTTGTTTTTCGTTCTGTATACGTGTTTGTGATAGTATCCTGATGTCCTGAAAACATCTAATAGTAATAATAATCATAATGATATTTCAGTGTACACAGTCATGGTGAATTTCTAAATTCATTCACCATATTTACGCCATTAACTGATCAAATTCAGTCAATACCAGCATTGTCAACTAGAAACATGACTCTAGTAATCACTCCCCAGTGACCAGACAATGTAAACTTCACAGTCCTACGGGTTGGGAAGTCTGGGGATGAATAGCTCAGTGTTAACCCGTCTCTTTTTCTCTAAATGTAAGATTTGCATGGTTCGGGTTCGAATCTTCGAAGGCACATCAGCTCCGGATATGCCTTGCTGGTGAGTATCAGTAATTACGAAATCTATGTTCGTGCTTTTTGCCAACTGCCTCTTACCACCTAATAGTAACAACAAATTCATTTATATATATATATATATACACTTCACCGACCCCTAGATTAGAAATAGGAAGTGAAGTGGTAGAGCACGTTGACCACTTCACTTACTTCAGAAGTACCATCAGCCCCAATGGGTTGATCTCCGAGGAAATCTCAGCACGAATACAGAGGGCTAGGTTCGCTTATGCCAGTTTACGCCGTCTCTGGCGTAGACGTGATATCAGACTATCGACAAAAGGGCATGTGTACTGCTCAACAGTCCGCTCCGTCCTCCTTTATGGCTGTGAGGCCTGGCCATTGAGAGCAGAAGACATGAAAAGATTAGCTGTCTTCGATCATAGGTGTCTTCGTTCTATCTCCCGCGTGAAATGGTATAATAAGGTGAGCAATATTGAGGTTAGGCTTCGGTCGAGTGCTAGGTAAGGAGGGGAAATCAGTCGACGAAACTGTGAAATTACATCGACTGAGATGGTTAGGTTACGTATGCCTAGTCATCGCCTTCCTCGACAATGGGCAATGTTAGCTGATATAGGGCCAGGCTGGAAAAGAGCTAGCGGCGGTCAAATGGAAACATGGCACCAGTCAATGAAATCCACAACAGTCAGTCTAAGCCACGTAGGAAGGTGCAGACTTCCTGGTTGGGGTCCTCGGGACGGTAAAAACCAATGGCTGGAAACAAAAGGTGACGTGGCTCAAAATCGTTCTCACTGGCGCAGATGCATGCACTCCTTGTGACTTATGATTCCCAATGAAACTATACTTTTCTTCGTTATTACTATTCCCTTGTCTCATATCCCTGTCTACTGTCTCTGATTTGCATTTCTTCTTCTTTCTTCTCTTGCTTTGTGTGCTACATGGAGTGTGGCGACTTGAACTGCTGCACATATGTGCAAAGTTCTATGTCGAAAACCGACCGACCGATATATATTTACATGATTTACGTGATTACATTTCAGATACAATTTATTGTTCACCGTCTTATGCAATGCAACAGTCGTAAAACATATTTCATATAGTTCTAATTCTTTTCGTTTATATGTCGTAGAGTTAGTGAATTTTCTGAGATTTGTATAACTGTGGTGAGAGAGTTGTCTGCTAGCCAAAATCGGTAGACAGCAATTTACGTCAATGTTAACGTCCCAAATCTTGGTCATGAGAAGAAAACAACAAGAACAATGACTAACTCAACAACCAATCACGGCAGACTTAACGTGGGCGGATACGATTTTATATATATATATATATATATATATATATATATAACCTTCAGCAGGAAAACAACCAATCAGAAGGCGCTGCTTCTCTTGCTAACACTAACGAATAATAATGTACATAAAAATCTATAAATATCTGTTGATTTTCTCAATAAACGATCTGTTGCCTGGCCCTTGTCTTCTGTCGTTACATAACAAGTGCTGAATAAATCTTCTGTCGTTCATCGAATAATTTATTGTGTTAAGGCAGGTTTTAGAATCGTTATGCTATAACATTCTGTTATATCACTGTGTTACTACAGGATGTGATACTATAGGTGAGATTTCCTCCCCTAGATTCCCTTATATAGTAATGATAAGGTACACGCAATCGCGTTTTGATAAGTCTTAGTACTTCAACAGTCTATTTAACTCAGTTAACTTATGTAGAAACATGTAACTTATAAATTAGTTAACTACGAAAACACACATAAAACCTGAATATTTTAATATTCGACGTTTTGAGTAAAAATTTATACTTGAATAAGGCACTTAGAAGACAAATTTC